ACGTGTGCTCTTCCGATCTCCCCAAAACCCCAAAACCCCTTAGACTAGCGTTAGTCATTCATAATAACACCTTAAAATAAGTTTAAAAATCATTAAATCAAACTAAAAATTTATCTTCTTAAATGTCTTAATTTTCCTATTACAAAGGTTCTAGATCCTGCCTTAACTAATTAATGCTTTCTTGATTCAATGGCATCATTCGATTTAGATTCATTGGCTATTATTAAGCAATATTTAAAGTCTCATAACAATCTGAGGAAAAAATTTCTTATTTTTCTGGCACATCTAATTACTACTAAATATCATCCATGAAATTTTCATATAATTAGTTGCTCACTCTATCAAAAAATGTCAAATTAGGATGATTTTCATCTTAATTGTGAGCAATATTTATATTTTATTGAACTTGGTCTGGAGAAAATGAGTTTTACTAGCAAAGAGATGTCTTCAATTAGGCATTAAACCTATTGAAATTAAAATTATTGCTATCATTTGAATTATTTGAACCTGAACATATATTATTGAGAACATTATTATTACCGAATAAATCTGAGGATTATTGCTTATTCTCCAAGTTGACTTAGCTTAGATTACTTGATGTTCTGTCTAAATTATATTTAATTCTCTTAAATTTAGGTTCCTGATTAATAATATTTGTGATCTGTGGGTTCTTTCTCTTGACTAGATGAACTGGGGTGTTTATTTGACTATAGTTAATACTAGAGTGCTAGGAATCATGATTTTATTAATTCCTAATTTAGGATTATTGCTGCTGCTAATAGGAACTTGTTGACTATTTTTATTTCTAATTTGTTAGCTATTATTATAGCTATTAGTGGACCTAAAATTAATATTATTTGTTCTCCTTCTACTATTACTACAGTTATTAACTTAATAAAGTAGATTAAAGGATGTCATTATTATATTTCTAATCGACGAGAATTTAAGATTCCTAATTTTTAATTTTTTTATTAAGTTGCGAGGTATCGTTTTCTTAATTTTAATTAATTAATGGTCTTTTCAGCTCAAATTGATCACTAGAATTTTATTTTATAATCATTTATTAACATTTAGGAATGTGCTATGGCTAGCACTAGACTTTATTCATTAAATTGATTTGATAGTTTTAGGCAAACAATACCCCCAATTATGGATTGATATTAAATGACGTGGAGAGTATCTCAATCAGCATTATTTGTAATATGCTCTTCTCAACTTGCAAGACATCATTATAATTTCTCAAGTTTTAACTGTTCACATCTAAAATATTAACTACTTAATATTACTTTGGAAATTTTGTCTTGTTCTATATTCTCTCAAATCCTTTAATCCTCTTTAATCAATATGTGCTCGTAAATTAATGATTTCCTATTTTAGTTCGTAATTTCTATAATTATTTGAGATATGCTACTAAAAAATACAGTTGATTGAAAGTCCTAGTAAGATTTGAATTATTATATTTTTGCTTGGAATCTATAATTTTTAAGTGTTCCATTGAGTGGAAATATCTCTGGTTAATTTATTCTAACTATACACCAATAAATTGAATAAAGCAATTACATCCTGATTCAAAGTCTTGAATCTCTGCTATATCGTCTCTACGTGCTCTTGAAGCAATTATGTTGAATAAGGAGCATCAATTCCGGTGAGAGTTTTAAACTCTTCTTACTTTAGTATCTCAGCTCTAAGCTTTTAATCAAAGTCTTATGCCTGCTAATCCTTTCCTTTTCTTTTTCTTTTTATTGTATGAAGCATACTTTTATTGTCTGCTCTAAATATTGGATGATAGAATATATGCTCATCTTTCTTGATATTGACTTTTCTGAAGCCATACTTATTCAGCTGTAAAGGTAAATAGTCAGAAATAATTATATAAGTTTAATTTTACATACCTATCTAACAAAAGTTGAGTAGGAGGTAGTTGTAAAGTAAATCGGAAGTACTAACTGCTTAAATTTCTCCATTGAATAAATTACGAAGTAGTGTCCGCCGTTATCAGACCAATTGATGATTGTTTTAAATTTTTGCTCATCAATAGACTTGTACAAGTTACTGATAAAAGGTGAGGTCTCAAAAATGTATTGCTGAGATGAACATTGCTGCTTTTCTAACTGCAAATTACTTTCCACTGAAGATATCTAATCTTGAGGTATTTGATTAAGAACATAATTTTATTCTCTAAATAGTTGGAATTCGTTGGAGAGAGATTTTGTAGGTGCTGCAAGATTCTAAAATGGCTCAAAGGATGATTCATTCATGATTACAACCTAGATCAAATGTAAATTTTAATATCATTAACACAAAAAAAGTCTCTACTTTAATGACTAGGGGTTTTGGGGTTTTGGGG